ATTTGCCCTTATTAAGATTGAATATTAAGATTATTGTTAAGATTATTGTACTGTTTGCTGTTCTATGTACCAAATAAAATAAAATAAAATTCCATTTCATACCAGCATGAAATGGAATTTTAAGGTCTCCTCTGTAAGGTATTGGTACTTCCTCGGACGCGCATGCCATTCGTGCAACACCAGCCGCTGTTGCGTGGTAAAAACAATCTGAGTGAAGTGTTTCGCTAATATTAAATTGTGTATCACAGTAAATAAAGAGGGTTAAAACAGGTCAGAACATAATGATAATCTTCACTGGAAAGGCAAAATTAAGCGTTTAAGTAATTTTGGCTTTCCAGTGACGAATTATAATTAATTTCGTTCACAACGGTCTCTTGTCAAGTTTTGGTGTGGATTTTTGGACCTTTATCAATCCGCAGAAAGCTTGCCCTATCTGTTACATTTATTCAGTGGTCCTCATCATTTAGGTGATATATGGCTTCGGACAAGTCATGTCGATAACAACAGCGAGTTGTTTGCTCACCATGTAACAGTTATGTGAACGTAATCACTTTATATTGTAACGTTCGTTGTTTACTTATTATTATGTGTTGTTTTTGTTGTTATGTACGTCATACATTTTACGACATTAAAAGATTCACGTGAACGCTATATGCATTATTGTTCATTATTATCTTGAAAGTATAAAAAAATACTTCTTAATTAAACATAAGCCGTTCTGTGTCCGTACATACACTACATTTCAGAAATTCAGCGGTTTAAAGGCCAGTTGTTATTTTAATAAATCATTCATAAAACAAAAAAATATTACGAAGCTTATTTAAGATGTATTCACTATGTTTCGTTCGATATTCGTTTTATTTTATAAAGTTTTCTTCAATTATTCGCTCAATACCTGTATTGGTAAATTCCCATTGGTCCTTAAGGTAACATTTTCACTGTATAGAAAGAGAATAAATATATTTACCAAAAAAGGACGCACACAACAAAAATTTAACAAAAATGTATGTAAATGTATCTTAAAAACCTGTAGTCCTGTCCTGTAAAGTCCAAAAATGTATGTTTGGTTGTTATGTAAAGAAATGGAATGACCTTATCCCTCCATGATCTTTAGTAGTCATTGTATTCGAGTGTCTACGTAGTTCTCCACGAATGGGCTGGCTGGTCCGAGGAGGCTCATAGAAGACTAGATGAAGTGGAAATATTTCATTATGCTTTCGCGTTTCGCCTTGTGAGTGATATAACCGGGGCCCACGTTTTTGAAGGTTGGCAACGCATACACAACACTAGTTACTATTTTTATAAGCAGTTGGTAATATCTTTAAACTACTGAACCGCAATTTCTTGCCTAATGCAAGCCCATACTACATAAATAAGGAATAAAGGCCTAATTTTATTTAAATAACTTTATATTTACCGATATTAATTGTTCGCCGATCAAATCAGAAGATTTATTTTTATGGCAAACGAGCTGACAGGTAACCCAATGTTAAGTGTCAACCGATGCCCATGGATACTCGCAATACCAGAGGAGTCACAAATCCGTTGCCAGTCTTTGAGGTAGGAATAAGCGCTCTTGATCCGTGTGCTCGCTTCATTTTTTATTTTTTTTTTATTCAATATACTCTATCAACCTTAGATCATGATAATTTTTGGTATTTAGGCGATTATACATCATAAATGAAACTATTTTTACGGATTTATCGCGTTTATTTTTTTAGATAACTATGAAATATAGACGTCCAACGCCTCAGTCTGTCCCTTGGCCAAAAACGTCGGAAATTAAACTTAAAAAAAACGCGATAAATCCTTAAATAAAAATAGTTTGATTTATTACCCTAGTTCAATTCCCGGTGGTGGTACTAATAAAATGCAATTTTAAGTGCTGCCTTATCGCGTGCTCACCGTTGATGGAAAACTCCTGAGAAAAACCTGCATATTTTCGAAATAATAGCAAAAAGTGAAAAATAAAATATATACTTATATTTCGAACAATGATATGTGTCAATACGCGGTTGGTTCGCGTGGTGGGCTATGCTCTAATATTTTCTGTACAGAGAAGGCCTTTGACCAGCTGTGGGTCATATAATATATAGGTTGTTACTCGACTTTAGTTAGCTAAACGAAGTCAGGAAAAATGAGAATTGATTTCACAACAGCTTGTCGCAGAAGGAGTACAGGCTGGTATTACGTACCTTAATTAATAATTTGAATTCGTTCCACATTCCAATCGACAGAAAGCTAAACTGTTTGCCAATAAACAAACTTTGTGAAAGCGTTCGATACCCTAACAAATTGTTGCTACGTGACATTGAAACTGTGATTAAGGGAAGGAAACGTATAAGTGACTTAATTGGGAATGACAAAAATGACAGAGATGACTCCGTGGTGCAGTTGCCAAGTGATATTGGCTTCGGCGTCGGGGATCGTGGGTTCGATCCCCACACGGGACAACTATTTGTGTGACTCACATATAGTTGTTTCGCATCTGGGAGTTTGACCGCGTGAAATTTATGTTTAAAAAATGTCCTTCCAACACAGGATATGATCCTAAAGTAAAGGCAATGTATAAAGGAAAAAAAGGGTTGAAGTTTACCAGTAATTTACGATGTAATTACGATGTAATCTACGGTGAAATAAATAAATTCTATTTGTTCTACCAAAAAAACTTTTTATTGGTCTTGATACGTCCAAAATCGTTGCACACATCACATCGTTGCATACTCAAGAAAAGGGCAAGCTAGCAAACAGATAGGAAACACGACATAAATGAGCCATCGTTTTTGGCTTAGGAGATTCAGAACTGCAGTTTCGACAAAAAACATAAAACGTAGTAACAATTCCTAAACCTGGGCACTTTAAAAGAAAAATTCGAAGTAAGTGAATTCGCAATGTTCTCCAATTTTCTACTACATTTAGAAATCTTCGCGTACGACCAACAGGCGGGGTTGTCAAGCGAGTACTGCGTGGAACTAAATAGAAATAAAGTGCGGCCATTAATCACACCTTTCTCGGCTCACGTACTACGTAAACCCTTACCCTTTAAGCCTAGCGGAGAAATCGTTTGAACACGCCGCCAGCACCATACTTCAGTAACAAATAAATTCGCGCCAACGCTCACGAAACTCAAAAGAGCATCGCGGAATTTTCATTTAGCTACTGCAGTCGTAGTAGCCGGCTATGCGTTCTATTGCATTATTTTGTTTACTAAAGCGATTTTTTTTATAAAATAGGTGGACACATAATCTTTGTTTGATAACCGGTGATTCTTTCTCACTGGTGGCAACGCATTAGCAACTCTACAGGTGTTGCAAATGTTCATAGGCGGCGGTTATCAGTTATCACTTGACATGAGGTGAACCGCCATCTCGTTTGCCACTGTCTCACATGAAAAAAAATAATAACACAATTTTTATCACTCACGCAAACTACCTTACACAGAAGCAGTGCAACGCTTTTTTAATTGGCATTCCATGAAAAAGTGGTCATTACCCCGTACAACAGCCACATACATTGTTTGCTACATTACTTTATAACGTAATTTTTTTTTAATAATTTCCCTTGCTGTTTCTCGATTTCGTTGAAATATCCTTCTTACTACAAATTAATATCAAAAGTATTAAACGGCTTTGTTCAATTTGGTATTGTTGTTAATTTTAATATGTACCGTTTCTCATATAAAAAAAAAACTGTTTTTTTATTTTCACTAACAATTTATCACGATATTAAAATGACGTGTCATAGCAAGCTTAGAAAATTTTTAAATAACAAAAAGTCTATAAAATTAGATATACTGCATTAAATTCATTTTCGGTTTACGTAAATATGACCACGTATCTTCTTATCGTCGCAAGCTTAACTAGCTTTCTATTCGTCAAAGGCGTTGCTCCAGAATTCTGTTGCTATTGTATTCGGTATTATCTAATCCTAATTCTCCTACATATATCAGGAATACCTTCCAATTATTTCACTCTGCTTCTGACAGAGTACCTCGTTCTTTTAACCTACATAGGATTCGCATCCCGCAACATAATACAGGATGCTTTGACTCTTCTTTTACTGTTCAAGCTACACTCCTCTGGAACGCCCTTCCCGATAAGATCAAAATAGCTCCAAATAAATATACATTTAAAAAGTTAGTTCGAGAATACCTATTAAATCAGTGATTTTGTTTGGCTTATCCCATGCTCGGTTTTTATTAACCATATATGTACATCTACAATATTTATGTGTGTATATATATATATATATATATATATATATGTGTGTATATTTATGTATATACTCATCCATACATGTATGTCATATATATGTAGTTTATGATTAATAATATTCATATACATATGCAAATGTGCGGGAAGTCGATGGATGCAGGTGGCTCAGGATCGTACTTCGTGGCAGTCTGTGGGGGAGGCCTATGTTCAGCAGTGGACTCAAACAGGCTGAAATGATGATGATGATGATATACATATTCGTATATATCCACACATTATATTTAATTTGATTTTTATGTATATATTTTCCTACTTTTATTTACTTTAGTTTTAGCACCTGCCATCTACTTCTTACCATGACAAGGGTTGACTGGTAGAGAAATGCCACTAGGCATGGTTAAGTCCGCCCATTGTAGCCTTTAGTCTAAGGTGGTAACAATCGACATTAATAAATACCAAACAACCAAAATAAGTACGTAAACGAGTACGAAGAAATAGATAGTTTCGTTTCATTTCTAGGAAAAAATAAATAAATATACAGAGGAGGGAAAACGTTATTCCAACAATTGGTTATACTTATACCCCATACTGGTTATTATGTTTCGACATTTATTAAAATATCAAACCAAACAACCAAAATAAGTAAGTAAACGAGTACGAAGAAATAGACTAGTTTCGTTTCATTTCTGTTAAGAAGTTGATCATCCACGGGGTCTAATGACTACAATAATTAATAAACCGACTAAACTTAATTAGATAATCGATATCGGTGAAACTATAACTTACAGTCTCCTCTTCTCGGCCCACTCGTCCGCGTGCTCTTGGGCGATTCGCTCCAAATGCTCACGGGCCCTCTCCGCCCTGGTGAACGCCTGCAGACGACGTAGAACGTCCACTTCCACGCGTTTCAGTGTCAGATCATCACGGGCACGTTCGTCCTGTTAAAATTACAAGCTGCAACTGGTTCCGCCGGCAGGTAATAATATTGAGTCTCCGCCAAGTTCTTAGTCTGAAACCACGGCAGGTAATTAACGCACTTAAAAGCATTAACTCACAAATAGTTTCTCAATATCAATATCAGCCTATTGCCGTCCACTGATGAACGTAAGCCTCCCCCAAAGTGCGCCAACTATCCCGGGCAGGCCGCATCCATCCGCTGCCCGCTACCTTTCTTAAGTAGTCATTCCAAATAGTTATTCAATAGTATATAGTTCTATATAGTTTCTACATGATGATAATCCATTAATTCATTTTTTACGTGTAATTCTTTTCTGATATTTATTGGCTAAGCCACGGATCAGTTCCTGCTATTCCATGAATGTTACGCTTCATCGAAAAAAACAAGGAATAAACCAGCTCCCTCGGAACCTATTATTTTAGTAATGGAAACGTTGGGATTATCTATAAATCGATCACATAAATAGTGGGCGTTCTAACCAATTTCTTCATTTCCATGTGTATCCGGTCCATGAACTGGTTGTACAGATACTTTCTGTACTTGGTTGAACTCCTTCAGGGAGCACACGGCCCTGCCGTCTTTCGTGCAGAAACCGAGCTGCTTCATTCTGCAACGCGCCGGCTTCTGGGCGAAATGATGCGCCAGGTGGGGATCGTGCATCGGTACGTAATCGTACGTGACATTGTTGCAGTAGGGGTCGTTCAGGTCGAAGGTCGGACGAGGGCCACCGCTCCCTAGCCCGAGGCGACGAACCTGGAACAGGATAAAAACTAACTTGAGATACCTTCAACCATTAGTTTGTCAGATAGATCACGTGCTTACGAATAATCACATTCCTATAACATTCGAATAGATGATGAATCTCGAAAACCAGCCAATCTATTGAAAGTCAATAAGAAATTAAAGTAAAATAATATATACTCCTAGTGAATTAATACGAAAAGTATACTATTTTAAATTTTAAAAGTTTTTTGTTAATTCCTGCCGTGGGATGATTTAAAATTACAATAGGAACATTTCATAAGCGCATCCAAATGGAGGTCATAAATATTTTTTTTTAAACATTATGCTTTTTTAATTTAGTTCGGTCTATGCAGAACTAAGCCTTATAGTGTCAGTGTGCTTGGATTGAATTTTACACAATGCATGATCTCCAGATTGTGGAAACAGGTAACCATCATACACAAATAGTAAAACTTGATTAAAAGTTGCCAAAAGCGAACTAACTTTTCGGTTGTCTAGAAAGCGAGTCATTAGAACACGAAACAATTTGCCACCGCGAACCGAATTCGTGGCAACGTGTTTTGTGTGTTTACGCAAGGCGATGCTGCCTACCTTATGAAATTAATCTATTACGTGCTCGTATTTCATCGTTGATTAGATGGAGGGCCGATCACTGCGTGGGCGGTAATTTTCCCCATTATCGCAAATGTTATAATGATAATCTATTATTTTCTCATAAAATGAAAATTAATTACATAAGATTATTTAATTTACAATTACCAAAAGACAGATGGTTGATGTATAAAATGATTATTTTTCTAATAGAACCGAGTCATTTGTTCATGTTTCTTAACGGTCGCGCAAGGTACCCGAGAAAATAATAAATGAGCGACAGTTTATGGTTTTGCATTTTTGCACTAAAAACTTTAATTCGAGATCATTCTGATTGCGTATTAAGAGTTTTATGTTTACGTTATTCCAATAATGAAGTCGATTGCAAAATAATGACAAACGATAAACATATGTAATAATAATAAAGTATGATAAAGCAACAAAGTAGCAGGTATATTCGCAGTATATTCGTCATTAATTACTTTAACCAGAACCGTGTCGTTAGTCCATTAATACATGTACACTAGACTAAGCCTCGCTAGCTCAGTATCCGGTCAGTCGCCTTTAAATCGAGTGTACAGCACTTGAGATAAAGTCTAGGTAACGTTATCAATAAAGTTGTTACAATTTTCAATACTGGTTTAACTAATTGGCACATTTGCGGCCGGTTTCATGATTTTATCTACAGATAAATTTACTAGCAATAGGTATTTGACATTAGCTTCATAATAAATCATTTGAATGTCATCTTACCTAGTGGTTTGTAATGGTGTATGCTTTAAGTTGTTAATTAAGCTAAGCTTACAAAGATAGAAGTTTAATGATTAAAATATTTTGTAAAAGCTTCGCACAATATATACATAGACAACATAATTTTATATATCGGACAAAGTGAATAAAGAAAACGATCACATCCAATTACCTAAAGATATAGTCTCACAAATTGAAATATGCAAATATTCGAGTTAGTATGCCAAGGAATATTTGGCAGCATAATTACGTTGGGAACTTTCAGAGCGCCGGTGTAAGTGACAAGAGAAAATTGGTTATTACATTCTACAAACACCTGTTAACGATGTACCGAGCGTGCTCAAGTGTCTCTACGAAAATGTGGGCTACCTTAATATGTTTCATAATCAGATACGAAAAAATTACTTTAGGGTTGATTGTGGCTTTTTATATACATACCTACTCTAGTAATAAGTTAAAAGTGTAATGCTTTATTATATTTACTACAATAATAAATATTTTACTATCATGTAAACTTTTTGCGGCACCGTAAAATAAAATATAGGTATCCAATCTAGCCCCGAGTTAAATAATAGTTGTATTTTATTTTATTTTAATATATGTAGCCGATTGTTATAATATACAGCGTGTGGTTACCATCGCGACAATAAATGAACACACGTCTAACGCTACTTGCCAATAATCATAAAAAATATTAACGTTAAATAAAATCCATAATTAAAAAAAAATATTTTTCAAACAAATTAAGTAATAAAGAAACAAAATTTGTAACATCCTATACAACTACAACTGACTGATTCATACATTCAAAGACTTTTTCATTCGTTGCCACAGCGTCGCATTACAAACTGCTATCAAACTAATATTTCCCATTTATTCTTATTCGACCTAATTTCAGAAATATGCCATCATGAATTGCCGCATACTATGGTTATGTTTTTTCGGCGTTATGATATGGATTAATAATTTGGGGTAACTCAGCGTATGCAACAAAAGTATTCATAATTCAAAAACAATGTATAGAGCCATTTGCGGAGCGAAACCACTCGACAGCTGTAAGCCACTATTTAAAAGGTTAGGCATATTACCTCTTCCCGCAATGTATATTAAGGAGATGTGCATTATGGTGAAAAGGTATCCGAAATATTTTGAATTGAATTATAATTACAACAATAGATCCTTACGTCGACCAGAAAAACTATATGTTCCTAAATGTAACCTAAATGTATATAAAAAGAATGCTTACTTTATGTCCATAACTTTGTACAATAAATTACCGTTAGAAATTAAACAATTGCCCCTTGCTTCGTTTAAGACGAAAATAACTAAATGGCTCCTAGATAAAATGATTTATAACATAAATGACTATCTGTTACGTAATACTGACATTTAATAATTTGACATAGGTATATATCCGTATAATAATTGTAATGTTTTAATGTAATAATTTATTATGTTTAAATGTTTTTAATGTGGATAATTGTATATTTTCAATATTTTCATGTGAATAATTTTATATGAAATTGACAATTGCATGCTGAAGGTCAGCTGAATATGTTGCACCAAAATTATTAGAATTAAGATCAAAATGTACTACCATATTCTGGCAATAAAAAAATAAATAAATACAAAAAAAAGCCTCTCCTTCTAACAGTATGTTTTGTCTCTTTTAAATTCATTCAACCCATTCATATGCTTTGTGACCTTTACAAATGAACTTTACGTTACAGTTTACATACGTAAGGATGTTCTAAAATTCTTTATTTTGGAAAATTTAATAACTCTGTAAATATTGATGTTTAAAGAAAGTAAATGTTTAATACAATTTTAAAAAGTTATCGTCTATATGTGTGTTCATTTATTGTCGGGATGGTAAAGACACGCTGTATAGCGGTATTTTTTTTTTTTTCGAAAATATATTTTTATATAAATCTAATTATTTCAAAATGTCACATTCTTCTGTGTTAAGAGTCATGCTACCAGTTATAAAAAGAAAAATTTATCGGATTTATGATTAGTTATTAAACCTAACACAAGAATGGCGACTACTTAGAATGCAAAAAAAAAACTGCTATCAACTATATTCCCATTTATTCTTATTCGACCTAATTTCAGAAATATGCCATCATGAATTGCAATTGTTGCAAAGTCTTAACAAAAAATATATTAACCGTCATCTAGAACTAGACTAAGTGGAAAGTTGAGTTACAGCGTCTTAACAATGCGAATGAGATAGAATTGTGTGTAATAGACTAAGAAACTTGAATTAAAGTTTGCTATCATAAATAGGCAATAATATAATATATATTTGATTAATCTTCTTTTGCACTGCACTTTTGCACGTACGATTGCACTTTTGCCATTTCCGTGGAAGTTCATTCATGCCTCAGCATTAAAAATCCTGTAGAAGAAGAGATGTTGAACTCTTAAAACGAGTTCATTGGATCCCATCCTTGATATTACTTGGTATGTTTGCAGTAAAGCAATTAAAATTATTTTTATTTTATATTAGACTTATATTTTATGCTAGACGTGAAAATGGCACCGAATTTCGAATTATAAAATTAATTTAGGTATGGAATTCCAATCAGAATGAAAGACTACGATGATGATAATAAGAAAATCACACAAAGTTACGTACAGTAGCTTGCAATTTTTTCATGTTATGAATATAATCACTGTGTTATGTGTCAACAGGTGTCGATGATTCCAGTACCGTATCGTGTTACGTAAGAATGCGTGTATGTAAAATAATAGCAGGAAACCTTCAGGTAATTGTAATATTAAGATCTGAAGGGCGTCTTGGTGGTTCGTCTAACCACACCGCCTTCCAAGCGACAAACTATATGTATATTATAATACATACAAATAATTTCCTACAACTAAAATAATATGTCGTATATGTCGAAATTTCAGAAATTTATAGATAAATATCACCTTGATTATTTTAACTCGGAAGGAAACGACGAAAAGAGGAAGTAGTTTTTATCCCACAACAGTACCTAAGATATGTAAAACTAAAGGGAGAACGAGAAAAAATAAGATTGAGCGTGTGAAGAATGATATGTCTGTGAAAGTGGTGAGCATTGAGATGACGGCTTATGGAGGTAAGTGGAATGAAAGGACGTGTTATACCGACCCACATAGTGCTGAACAATGGCAGGAGAAAGAAATACGATACCTAAGACGTTGGTAATTAACCTATTTCTATGTTTTAGTTCGAATTAAGCATGTTGTATCCACCAAGGGCATACAATACGTCGGTATCACTTCACGTGTGGCGCTCCGAGAGAATTATTTCGTCTGATCATTATTATGAGCCCCAGCATAAAATGCGCGGTCGGAAGTTCCATTTACGGGCGCCGCTAATTCGCTCGTCGCCTCAATTTGCGCGTGAACAACGCGTTACGACGTACTCGTAATAAAATAAACATTCAATCAATGATACCAATCTTTCTTTACCTTAAACTGTCCTATCTGTAGACCATCAAAACTTGTAGGGGAATCTCTATTCCATTATTTAACTCAGTAACGCAAATTAATCGTCTTTCGTTTGATCGATTCTAATGGACCAGTATTTGTATGGCTTTAAGATTATTTTTTAACTAGATTGCTTACATATTCGTGATCCGTTGTAACAAACCATTTTACTCTTATCCTATGTAAAGGCAATGTTTTATATAATAAACGTAAAACAAAACTTAATTCACGAATCAGTTTGAAACCTATCACTAAAACAATTATGAAGCTAATTTAAATTTAAAACATAAACTACATATAAATTGCAAATAATCACTAAAAATTTGCTCTTCACGTTATTCAATTTTAAGGAGAGTTATTAACTTTAAAATAAACTTTAGAAGGGTTATGCTTAGAAATAAAAGTGTCTTGTTAAAACCTTCATTCCGCTTTAACAATCAAGAGTAGCTTCCTCTTTGTAAGTAAATCTGTCATAGCTTTGTACAAGAGCGTTGTTAAATCTTTTGCCAATTCAATGTAATACCATCTATAAACGAAAACGCGCACAGCCACGTTGTCAACAAAGGGCTTTCCGCGAATTAATCTTATTAAGGCTTTTCAAACATCAGTCAAACAATGCCCCATTAACAACTTTACGGCTTAAACAATACGCTAATTATTATTCAAAGCTCCATTAAGGTAGAGGGAAACTGATCGTAAATAATAGAGTAACTGTGTGAATAATCCCCTGATATAATTAAAAAATTAAGTCGCATATATATTTCTTTCTATGTAAGCATCCAATTCTTATAAATTCTGTATTACAAGAGTTAAACGGCACCTCACACAAGAAAAGATGTTAATACTTGTTATTCGATTATATTTTCATATTTATTTTATCGTCCACTAGTTTACAATTCTTGTTTACACGTAGTTTACTGGTAGATAAATGGTGCTTACATCGAGTTTTTTGTTCCACAATTTAGGATACATTAATATTAAACGGATAAGTAAAGCGTAATTATTCAATAGGATACTTTTGATAAATATTTCATGTTTTCAGTCCCTTTTTTTTTAAACCTTCATATCCAAAAAACATATAGTCTAACTTTTATAAGGGACAATAACTTTATAAGTTTTTTAAAAAAATAAGTGCGTAACAATATTATCAGTATTTTACATAAAACACTCATGGAGTCACAAGTCTAATGCCCGTTTTCACCCTAACTTTAGGGGACACCTAAAAAACGTTTTATTCATTTTCACCACCGCTTAAGTGTCAAGTTACTGGGCACATGATAAACATACATAAGTAAGTGTGTTTATCGTGTGCCTAGTACCTATATTACCCCTTGTGAAAAAAATATTTATTTATTTCATTTGGTTCTACGCTTTAAGTCACCGTACGTAACAAAAGACAACGGCATAAAATTTGTTCAGAGAAATCTCAAGCGTCTAAAAATAGCATAATAGATGTAAATATTATATCTTCTTAAGTATTTTCAAGTTATAGTAAATGCCTATTCAAGCCTAAGTATAATAAAAATCATCTAGGTATGTATCGTTTTACACTTTTTATTTTTAAAATAATAATTTTTCATTTGAAAATAACAATTAACAAGAAAAAAGACCGGCCAGTCTGGTTTACAAAAGTTTTTGAGAACGTTATGCGTCAAAAATTTTGTTCAACCTAAATTTGTATTGGAGTTCGCTATTGTTATGATCACAGATAACTAAGATAACTGTAGAAAAAAACGGTAGCCACATATTCGAAAAGCGATAAATTACATTTCGAATATCGAAACCAATATCAGCGTTTAATGAATACATTTTTAAATGGACAAAAACTTTCGGCGGTATTCGAACCTACGTCTTACCAGACGCTTACCAACTTAGGCTGCACAGCTTACGTATTAATCATAATACAATTCATAACACAATAAAAGTAGTTAGCGTAGGAGAAGACGGTTTAGAAGACTATTCGATAAAAAGTGATGGATTTCGAGATCTCTTTTCAAATTCTTAGACCCATTAAACTTGACACGATTCTGAAGTGGCAACCAACCCTGTCCGACCGATGCTAAAGATATCGTAAAAGTAGGTCAATAATATGACATTCAGGCTGTTTGATAACCGCCAAATCAGGGAAATGGCGGATACTTTGGTTACAGCAGGAAATGTTTGACGGAGTTGATTGACGTAACCTTAAAAGCATTAAGTTGACTAAAGTCTACTGGAACCTGACACAACATATATCTTTTTGCTGACTTTTTCATTAAATATTAAACCACGGTCTGATTGATAACCGTTACAGTTAGAGTTCTCAAAATTCGTTAATACAATTTATCTTGTACATAATCCGCCGAAATCAGTTGTATGAAATTTGTAATATTAATATTGCCAAAGTGAGGCTAGTTTTATTCGTTTATTAATTTATTATATAAAAAATAATTATCATCATAAGACTTTCAATTACGCTATATATCGCTGCTGGTCTTTTTAATTAATTAATAATTCAAATAAATAAATATCGTTTCATATATATGTATTGCTACCGTTATTGACCGTAGAAGTTGAGCCAAATCCTGCTGGCAAAGGTCGTTAAATCCGTAATCACAATTTGGAATTAATCCAAATAGTTACATTGTAATAGAACATCACTATTTAACATGCATCCTGCGTGAATTAAGAAGGTAAGGTCCAAATCGAGGGTATTAAAAACTTCTTTCTTTAAATTGACAGTTATTTGAAGACAAATTAAAAGACGCTTTCAGTCGAAAAGAAATAACTCGGCAATGCCAATTTATATGTACTTTAGCGTAGAAATTGCGAATTCAGCCCCGTCATTCGGTTGAGGACAGCTCTAAAGTAAATGGAACCCGTTTGAATCGCGCAATTTAATTGCGGCGCTTAAAACACTTCTCTTCTCTTATCGAACGCCAACTAGAAAGAAGGTTAAATCGTGATTAAGGTTTTTAAAGAAACGGCGGAATCATATCTATCAAAATTCTGCGTAACATGTATACGAAGATAATATCTTCCAATAACTGCCAATGGGCGATAAAATATAATTTATAGAAATTAATTTGCATAAATAAAATTTAACATTTGATAAAAAATTTTTTCTACATGTTTTAATTAACATTTGATGTTTGGAAGTGAAAAATACTTCTAAGCTTTTAAGCTTGTAAACAGATTTATTCAAATTTAAAAAGGTTGAAATAGAAGAATCTTGTTGAACCACATATTGGCAAAGTCAATAGCACCCAATTTTGATGAAACTGTGTTATCATGTTGCAGTATCGAACACCAGTGACACTTACTACTTGACCAGCCTCATTTTCACATAAATTTTGGTGATTCTCAAAGCCATCAACGTGAATATGTGCTCAATAACTGAGGATAATTAATTAATAATTAAATAAATTAAATAAATTTAATAAGGTTGCTAACAACTTACTGCAAAAATGGTGGCAGATTCAAATCTTGCCGTAAGTTTTATACACCCCAGTAGATAGGTAGTTGTTTTGTGCTTTGTTGTTTATCACTCTGTGAATCACAGTATTCTCCAACAAAGTAAAAACGTAAGTTTTAAATTTAAAATATTAGCGTATAATGAATTTTGATGATTTTCATTGTGGAAATAAGAAGTTTTACTTATTTTTTTAAATCAAATGTAAGCGTTTGCATCGAATTATACTTATTATTTTAATAGCGACGTTTCTCTGTCGAATAATAATATAAATTACCAATAAAATTAATTTCAGACCCAAGCGCACCACCACTCCTTGCCATCGCCATCCTCTCTCCCTTTCATACTCCTCTCGCTCACACTCTCGTCGTTCCTTTTCACATATTACTCTTACTCTTTTACGTTCCATTCCCACATACTGTTAACGGTTGCTGCATGGAATGGAAAATAAAATTATCCCAGCTGACGGTAGTCCGAGTTAACATTGACATAAGAACGCCAAACATCTCTGGCCCGTCCCGAATGTCATATCATTCGAAACCTCCGTTGTTTAAAATAAAAATAAACCGCGAAAATATCCGTAACTAACTTATAAAAATTATTCAAATGTGATGGATATAAAGTTGAAAAGTGTAATAACTATTATGTGATAAAAAAAATATTATAGCATATGTCAATAAGGTTAAACTTCCAATAGACGGTTCGCGAAAAAGATTGAATCTTATTACGTGTAGTCGCGCAAAAAGGCTCCAAAGGGTCGTGGAAACATCACTACGCTTGTATAGAGCACTCACTCACCGTCGCGCGTCTGTCTAGTTTAAACAGTTGTGTACCGCACGCAAAAAAAATATATCGCAAACAATAGGATGTGTACCTATTCATCGTGGGCCGTTCAGCCCTTGGTGCGTCTGCAAATAAACGTTTACTGACCCCAAACAATCGGGCGGTCGCGTACCACGTGTGCGGCGGTGTAAGCGCTATGCGGGCTCCTGACGTTTTATCGCGCGAAAGCCTCCGTACCTACGGCATTCAACACTTGAATACAGCGCATTAGCATAATGAAAGCTCGCGGGGTATTCTTGAAAAGGGTCCCGAGCGTACTTATGGGCGAGGTTCGTTTGAAACGTGGCTGGCGGGCGGGCTCGTGTGGGAATATTTAAGTGTAATCCAGAGCGATTTGCGATGTGCAAATGAGGTGGAACGGGGGAAAGTGTATCGCTTGTTGGCATTTTACCTCTAAATGCTTTTCTGATGTAGAATATAGTAAATAATGTATTGGAATAAAATAGTTTGTCTTAGCTTCTGCTCAAGACATATTTATTGCAATGATGTAATAAGTGCACCTTCCACGATTTCTCACCACGCCCCGGGTTGACTGGGAGAGAATGCCAAAAGGCATTAAGTTCGCCCTTTGTAATCCTTTTTATTTAAAGGTTGCAATAAAGTATAAATAAATAAATAAATAAATGATGAATACACGTACGAGAACAAACCAATACATAAAAAAGGCACAGTATAAAAAAATGGCGATCAAATCACAAAATAACCTACATATCATTTGTTATCAAATGGTATCGTCCGAACGGAAATGACGAGAATGAAAGGATTTTTCTCTCTTATGGTGAGAATATTTATAAAAAATAACTTTAGCAAAGTGCAAGATTATGTACAATAAAGTTATGAATTCGTCATAACTTTATTACCTGAAAGCTCTCTGTCAGTTATTAAAACTATTCTTCAGACTTACACAAAGTTACTTTAACTCATTATATTAAAGTACTATATACCATAAATTCTATACATATCAAATCATATTTTATCGCCAGATTATTTATTTAATTCGAACGCTTAAACCTATAGCTCTCCCAGCTAGAAGAAAAGTGGATGCGCGAACGGTATTTACATAATTATATCTTGATGGTATAGGAAAATATGGTATTCTTAAAATACTTATCTGACCTAAGGCTATTGTAATAAAGGTATTAACATAGAATTTATGGTAACCATCAGTACAAATCGCGAGTCACCATAAAAACACAAAACATAACCTAATTTTAACAGCAACTGCGTAAGTGTTGCAGTCTTTTCTCCATTCGAAGATTAATTACATTTTTCTATAACATGGACGAATTTGTATATATACGCAAAGTTATATATTATAAACAAATTAATTATCATAAACAAATAAAACTTATTTATTTAAAAACCTGTTTAAGCTACATGCTATTTTTATTTGAAATTTTTCCTATTAGACGGCATATAATCATGCCATGAAATCATCTAAAGTAGGTTATCCACTTATCTTCAAGAGTTTCTTGTTTGCTTGCTTTGTACGCTATTTACGCCATTAAGAGATTAACTGCCTTAACGGTGTCCTCGTAAAGGGGGGAATATAGGAATAATAACTTTGAAAGAAACTGGCCAAAAGTAAATTGTCGAAGTGAAAATTTTGTTATATTGCCTATCACACCACTGCGAAACATCATAGCTTTTTTATTTTTAACACTATTATTATTTGAATGAAAATCGTCGAGTCGTTTTGGAGCCTAGTCGTGACAAACACAAAACAGTTTTAAAGTAAATCAAATAAAAAATTGTTGTTTTAGCGACAACAGAAATACGGTTCATGAGTTACAGTCTTATGACAGACGGACAGGCGGACAGACAGAAACACAAAGGAGTCTTAGTAATAGGGGCCCGTTTTACCCTTTGGGTACGGAACCCTAAACAGTTATTAGTTAATACACTACTGACAGATATGGTACACAATATAATGGCTCTTCTAGGTATTTCTACAGTTAGTTCCCTCTTTCCGTCCCCAATATTTTCCTATGCTTAAAGGAAATACGAATGTTATACCTTTGAACGTCTTACGGAGGCTTGTGTGAAAGGAGTTATTTTATTCTTTCGGATGAAAGACTTTTTCACTCGCCTAACGAGTCACTTTTCAGGCTTTTGTCAAGGTGCGTTTAAAGACATCGCCGTTAAGCGACGCGCCTTAACGTGGCTGAGGTATTAGCGTTGATTTATGACTTTCAAAGTCGTTATTGCGCTCTTCGCGCGGCTAAGTTCTCGAATGATACAATTTGCATTACGCCTCCTACCTGGGAATCTTGATGAGGCGAATTTAAATTTCTTATACGATAATAAGTTTAATAAGAGCCGTGATTGCTCAGTGTCCGGGCGCTCGCCTTTAATTCAATATATACTCGAGCAACCTGAGTTCGATCCCCGGTGCCGGCACCAATGAAGTTTTTTAACTTTAAGTGCTGAATTATCACGTGCTCCGCGGTGAAGGAAAACATCGTGAGGAAACCTGCATATTTTCGAAATAATAACAAAAAAAATGTATTTCGAAAATATGTGAAGTCCGCCAATCCGCAGTGGGGCCGCGTGGTGGACTATGCCCTGATACCCTCTGTATAGAGGAGGCCTTTGCCCAGCAGTGGGACATGTATAGGCTGTTACTTTACTTTTATACGATAATAAGTTTGCTCTAAATTGTGATACGTATATGCACGTAACACCGTCACAACTCCGAAGTCCAGTGCTTGAAGGGTCATGAAGACTAATATTTTGGCAAACGCATAGACTTAGGTTTAACAATTCTAAATGTACGGGCAATAAAATATAAGTTTAAAATATGAACGGGAAAATATAGGTAATAAAATAATTATGGTCCTGAAGGTGTTAAATACGTTCAAATAAATTTAGCCTACTTTTATATCACATTTATGATTTTAACATATTTTGATAGTGCGTGGACTATGTGCCCTAATACCCTGTGTAAAGAGCCATTGACCGGCTGTGGGGCTTATATAGGCTGTTACTATACTTTTTTTAATGTATTATGCTCAATAATGTAGTCTCGTTCCTGGTCGTTTACAAATTACTCGATTATTTATTCCCACCATGGTTGTAAATGTAAGCAGTTAGTATTATTACAACTAATAAAATTTTATACAATTATAACATTTAAAGAAATGAATTTTGTGCACATCTAATTAGTTATCCAAAAGAAATAGACAAAGAATCATATGAAATCTTCAATCGGCAATGGTTTGTAACAAAATTGAAAATTTTTCGACACCACGTTTAGGCCATGACTAAAGGGACCTTTTAGCGCCTTGATTTGTATTCATAATTCATGCTCTGCGACTAAATGAGGTAAACCTCTGATTTAAATTACAGGTAAGAGCAGAATATTAAATATTTCTGTAACTACGTATAACATCTATGTGTAGACTATATCTAATACTGTATCCATACTTCGGATCAACTGAACTATATTTTTTATTTTTAAGCTTTTTTGTACAAGCAACAAATAGAAATTTATTATTGCCTCACAGTGAAAACGAACTGTGGAGATAAATTGTAATCGTGCAACGAGTGACTGAATTTTTAAATTGGCACTTAAATCAAACATGAATTATGTTTTTGTATATCCCATAAATACAAAATCTCTGTATATTTTTTCCTAGTGGTGTAATTCTGTCGGTATGTCATAAGTTCCATAATTATTCATTAAATTAATTGAACAATCAAACACCATTTCAAAGCTTATGTTTGTCGCTATATGTATACGAATATATACGAAAAACAAGTAGTCATCATAAAAAAATAACTTTCGTTTAAAAATTTCTCATAAAGAACGTATGATAATGCCATCTATTCACATTTATTTTTAATTGAAAGATGAGTAGGCCGTTATTCTTCCGAATAAGATATCTTCCATTGATAAATACTTACTTACACATTGTATTACCAACGATAATTGATCACGGAACATATAAATCGATATATATAAATCGTAAACGTAAACCTTAACGTTAACATAGCCTATAATTTAGGCTCTAGGCAAAATAAGACCAAAGGCAAATTTCACGTACTCGTGTTACATGTCTTCAAATTCAATCGCTATTAATGTAATTCGATAATGCTTGTTTATTTTTTTTATTAACAAGACGAGTATGCATTGTGAAATAAAACTTATTTTTAACGAATTTTCACATTTTCAATTTGATTTTAAATTTATAACGTTTCGTATAAAATCAAGCATCGCAGGATGGGACAGATAACGTCCGAAAATCGTAAAGATACTTTCATTTACCTATAGTTAATCAAACAAAAAAATAATCTCACATCTTCGCCGATTTTCCCGCGCGAGAACACAATCTTTCCCTGCGGCATCTTTGGTACGGGAAGCTTGCACTCCAGTCCCAGTCGGTACCACATCGGTAGACCGTTCTTCGGCACGGCCCTCACCGGCTTCGGTACGGATTCTATGACTTTCCTCAGCTCTGTCGGCTTCCTTAGTGTCATCAGCGTGATGTCCACCTCTGACACATCGTCCACGTCCAGATTCAGTTTAACTGAAGACATTTTGTAAAAGTATCTAAAATATAACCTCAAAAAAAAAAGTTTCGACGCGCGCGTCACCTGATACACTGGGAATTTCGCATTTCACCGTGACGTTCGTTATTCAGACGTCCGGTTGGCGTTGATTGCTTTTTAATTGCCATTCAAAATGGCCAGTTCGGGATGTAAGTTTCACGCTGCTGTTTTATGTCACACAGCGAACGGCCTTTGTTTCTCCATGATAGAAATGTGAACAGTTACCCCGGTTATTTCAATTAAAAAGAAAGTGTTTGTTTCATTTCATTTTCATTTCATTTTCATTCATTTTCATTTCATATATTTCATTTTCATTCTCGTGTTACAAATTGAGTTATAGGTATGTTTGTCCATTTGATGAAATATGTTTGCACATATTTGTGCAATGGAGTATACGAACATAGCTAATATTATCTACATATACAGAGAGATTTACATATATTCTATCATGTCTATGATTTACTCTCGAACCTGACAGACGATGATTTGATTGGAATGTCAATTATTATTTACAAAACAAGCAGTTTAATTTTTCTTACATCCAATTTAGTTTTGTAGTTGTTTTAAATTAAATAATTTACTGCAAATTTTTTTTTCTCTTTATTTCAACTTCAATTTGGTTTTAAATTCAAAACCAGAAGTTCCATCCACACCACCTTGATGTCCAGCATTACACAGGGGCGATTTTCAAGGCATTTCCTGCATTGCACAACCACTCTGCGGAACCAGCTGCCACCAACGATCTTCCAAGTAATTACAACTTGGAAACCCTCAAGAAGAGAGCATACCTACACTTGCCTAACAGGCCGGCAACGCATTTGCAAGCGATGTTGCAGATGTTCATGGGCGGCGGTGATCACTTTCTATCAGGTGAGCCTTTTGCTTCTTTTTCCCTTCTATGTTTTTTTTTTTTTAAAAAATTCCATAAAAAAATTCGTTCCTAGCATGGGTATGGGTTTCACATTTCTCTCGGAGACAAACCTTATTGTGTTTGGATATGTCGCAATTGGAAAGACTTCCTTCATAAGCGAGAAATTTGGTAATTTTGTATTAAATGACGTGTGTAGTTTTGGATATTAAAAGTTTCATTGACCTTTTTTTAAATTGTACGTGATTTCGTAACTTTAAGACCTATCCAAAAAATGTTATTACAAAATCGTTTGTTTTAAGCGTCGCTCGTTAATTACGAAGGTTAAACAGTTGTTTACTGAGACGGATACCATTTTATGCAAGGGCACGTTATGTTCTTAAGTTCGTAGTGTCGTCTGAGTCTGGCTTGGGCTCGGTGATTTAAACTTTGTGGCTACACGACTCTTGGTTTTTTTTTTTTTTTTATTTGAAAAGTTGCCAAGCGAGCAGACGGTTCACCTGATGTTAAGTGAATACCGCCGCTCATGGACATCCGCTACACCCGAGGGTTGCAGATGCGTTGATAACCTTTATAAAATTGGGCTCTGGCTACCTCACTCACCAGACGAAACGCGAAAGTATTATACTTACACTTTACGCCGGTCTTCTGTGTGGTCGTGGTACTTACCTGGACGAGCCTGCCCATTCGTGCGCCCATTGTTTACAATGTAAAGCATCCATTTCAACAGAATTCTATTATATAAAATGTTAATAGATGAACTAAGTACACATGCAATTAAAATTAAATCGTTAAATTTTTGAATACTTTGAAGCATTCATGATTAGGCGATAAACAACTACTTCTACTATTAATGCATGCCGTTAATTTTTTTTAAGATTGTCCCCACTCGCAGAGTTTAATGTTGGGTAGCGTTATTTGCTTTTAAATAATTCAAACGAAGGAAATGCTTCGCATATCACGTGAACATGCAAAATCAAATCAAGACAGACGTGTTTAGCTGGTAGACTTACCAGTATTTTTCAACAGTCTTCAAAAAGAAGGAGGTTTTCACTTCGGTTTTTTTTTATGTTTTTTAAATCAGATATCTGTCATTTATGAACTTTTTAAAAATATTTTTGCATTGGTATTGGTTCAGCCCCCATGTGGTCCCATAATGTCATTACTATTCGGACTTGAGAACAAAAAAAAACAAAAACAAACCTTGGCCTACAATCCCCTCGAGTTTATATGTTTCTGCAACTTACAACTATAATTTTATTTGTAAAATTTTTTAATATTTTTAACTTATACTCGTATTACTAACTACTTTGTTATTTCATATGTTGTCAATGCTATGTATGTACACGTTATTTTCATACGTATCAGCAATAAGTTTTTATAATCAAATGAGCTATGTAACTGTCCTGTACATATGATGTGGTTGTACTTTAAATAAATAAATAAACTTGGACTGCGGAGATATTACAAAGTGTTCAACTAATGAGTGAGATTTTTGAAGTTGGTTTTCTCTTTTATTAGTAAAAACGCACTTGTAAATAATTTGTGGAAAACTGAAAATAACTATTTCTAATTTCTAACGACACGTTTGGTATGCCACGCTTTTTAAAAAAACGAAATCCTCTCGCAATATCATTCTATCTTCGGATTTTCTATTGATGCTTAATGCGAATGGCTTCGGAGTTCGCTGAGTAAGTTGAAATAAAATTAACCGCATGATTTGTAGATACGCATATTTAGTTCCCAGTAGGTATTTTCTGTTCCATTTTTTGTCTTCGAGCATTGGAATGGAAAAAATCCAATTTGTAATACGTAACACATGCACTACTTATATGTATATAGGGCAAATATTTCTCTATGGCCAACCACTCCCCTAGGAGAAAAAGGTCAAATATAATAATAGACGTCACTTTCGACTCACGCATGACGTTCATATCGCATATTAATGACATTAGAAACAGAGCCGGCGAAACCGACACAACGCGTACACTAGGTACACCAGCGTTCCTGGGCGATTCTCACCGTCCCCCAGCCACCGACTAACCAAGCACAGTCACGGTCCGCACCGAACCTCAATGGCCCGTACGCGATATGTCATTAGCGCACGCATGAGTACATGCGCGGCCCTATCCACTGAGGAGGGCTAAAAGCCAACCGAACTCTAAGGCAAACTCGTGGGTTCTGGCTAGCCCAACGATTCTGGGTTCGATGATAGTTATATTCTTTCTTAGGATATAAGCTTTCATCGGAGGCGGCACCATTTTAATCCAAGCTCTTCGAGCCGTGATGCGTTTTGTAATCGCCCTGTAACTTTAAATTAAATAGGTAGCTTTTTTCACAAAGAATACGTGACAAGGCATCGTAAAATTATGAAGGAGTAGAGATTTCGGAAAAAAAATAATAATAGTATAAAACAAAGTCGTCCAGCTGACTGTCTGTCCCTATGTATGCTTAGATCTTTAAAACTATGTAACGGATCTTAATGCAGTTTTTTTATTAGATAGAGTGATTCAAGGGGAAGGTTTATATGTATAATACATTGCAACTGTGCGAAGCCGGGGCGGGTCGCTAGTGTAAATATAAGCGAGTGCTTAAATTACGTAACGTCTTGCAACATATGCTAATACAGTGATGATCTTATAACGTAATTCAGCAGTTATATTTTTGGTTCCTGCGCTTTACTCAAGACATTCTTTATCCGGATAGTATTGGAAAGGATTATAATAACGAGTGTCTAGATGCACTACACAGAACCTGCTAGAATTTCAAAGCCGATGTTCGGATTTTGAAGGCCACAATTATGATGAAAATTATGATGATTATATAGTAGTATCTCATAAAATATCTTCCATTTATCATTGAAGAAACTTTAACTGATTTTAGGAGATTTCTTTTTTTGTTTGATTGTAACTATGTTTTAGAGTTTTTCTCTACTTTTTTTATTACGTCTATAATAATTCTCCCTATGGTGAGTCCCGTGTTGATAAACTTGGGATTGACTTAATGGAACCATGTATCCAAAGATGATCCTGTCACCCTTCAAGTCAGAACCCCAAATAAGAAATGAATAGTTAGTCGAAAATTAACGGAACTGCTTTTATCGTTTTAATTAAGTATTTTCAAAACATGTTTTAATTGTATCACAAAATCTTTCTGTAACTAAATGTCATTGCGATTGAATTTAAAAATTGAACAAAAAATTTACCCACCGTACAAATAAATATTACAAGGTTTATAACAATGATGAGAAGAGGACAAAATGTTTAGTCTTTCGTTTGAATATCAACTTTTACAGGGGCTCACAGTACGGTAGCCGAATGTACTGCGAATACGTGTTTGAAATTTCGTATCGCAAAGCATTCGCTAAGTTGTAAGACGAACATTAATGAAGTTGTCAACGCCTTGATAAGATCTGCTCGTATTTTACGGGCAAAGACTTTCATCTCCGTTAGTTTTGTTAGAGAAAGTAGATAATTATGTAGATTATATTTCGGACACGTGGATAAATGTCCACACTGTTATTTCATGTTGCTCCGACTTTGTATGGGTAGACAAACTAATTGAAATTATTACTTAAATTTAAATATCTATTTTTAATTTTAATTCTCGACGTTTCGAACTCTTTACAGGGTTCATAGGCACTCAACGGACCGAGGTGTTGGACGCCTGAATGTCATTGTTAGCCCGGGCTACCGCCAGTATTAAAACTAATAAATTATCTGCATAGTTCGGACACTGCTACACCTCAGTGTACAAAATTCAAAATGAACCCGATAAGTTCGTAAAAGTTATTTTCTTTAGAAGTTTAGTTGACATTTAATTTTCATGTCGCAATATAAGAGCGTTTTGAGTATCGTTATATTTTATGACATCTTAATAGGCAACAAGTCTGCTTTGATTGAACCTACAGACACTTTTAAATAAAGTTTAGCCCATATTGCTCAGGGATAATGGAACTCTCCATTAGCAGAACCTTTCAACAGGAATTATTTATTATGTACGAACAAAGTAATATAATCTCTATGTAATTTTAATACAGATGATTATTGAGAAATAGCGATATTATTCAATCAATATAAGTAACTTTTATTTCTATCAAATTGGTGGCATATTACAAATATATGCATATCTTTATTTCATGAGATATTGAATGATCTCACGCAATCGCTGATAAAATGTATGTAATACTTACATGAGAGCTTATTTTAATGGCTAAATATGTTGCAAGTATGTATAAAATGTTTATAAATAGCATTGAATATTTACTTTCATTGAGTTAAATGTCATTTTAAGATATTATAAAAATTATTAAAATATATTTGTATACCTAACTCATTGTCACGGGAGAGACTAACGCCCGGTTTCTGAAACACTGATCATCGTAGATGTCAAGTAATCAGCTTTCAAATGGCTTTTCAAATGTTATTTGAGTTGGCAAAAGGATGGTTAAACTCTCTAAATTTGAAAGCCATTTGACAGCTGATTAGTTGATATCTACGATGACCAGTGTTTCAGAAACCGGGCGTGAGTGTTTGTTCGAGACTGACGTCGGGATATTTCATATCTAAACAATAAACTTTATGAATTACCAGCGAACCAAGAGTGCCAGCTTGCCCTCGGAAACATTTTAATCAATCAAACTAACTTAATTTACACGGAAACGTGGAAGTTCACTCGCGCCGAGTTTGTGTCTATTCGAGGGAACACAAACAGCGAAGTTGAAAACATTTAATTGCGGATGTAATATAATAATGTATGTGTGGCCTCGTTTTTATGGAATTTCGTTTAAAATTAGTATTTTAACTGTAGTAGGGCCACGCAACACATTCGTGTTAAAATTCAGTCGCTGTACGCTTGGGCAGGTCGGTCCAGGTAAGTAACACGACCTCACAGAAGACCGGCATGAGGTGGAAGTGTTTCGTCTGGTGGGTAAACTAGTACGGGCACACTTTATAAAATGTCAATGGGCGGCTATCACTAAACATCAGGCTCACAAATAAAACAAATAAATTATGTTGCGTTTCGTGTCTTCTCTGTACCGTCCGTGACGCGTTTAAATCGTTAAAATACCAAATAACTCTGTAAGCATCCCACAGCGTTTTCAATCGCTGTACGACTTTGCAGGCATATTCAGGGTAGTATTACGTTACAGACCTCCAGCGTTAAGTAGAATGTTCATTGCTCTGTCTACCCATCTTTTGATTACCTCAAGTGTTGGCGCTGGCAACACTGTATACCGGATATGACGTTATCTACTCGAGCCAAGGGACACATGGTCGCATGCAGCAGCGGTCACTTGGATTTCGGCTGCGTTCCCGGACGATGATACAACCACTAGTGCTACTTGTCGTTATAATATTTGTTAATATTCAAGTTCAGTAATAGATAAAATATTAGAATCAAGGTAAAAACGTTAGAACTCTTATACAAGATATAGCGGATTGCAACGCCATGGATTTGGTGAATGTCCATGAGCAGGGTTAATCACAACATAAGGTTCTCTAATGAAATATTATGCTTCGATATTCGCGCGATTATTTTAGTGTTAATATTACTCGATAACCCACACAACGCGTACATAATTTAATGATATGCGTAATTTAGTGAATTTAATCGATGATGAATAGGATCTTGGTTTTGTTATGTATTTAAGGCCGACAATTCGAATATGAGAGTGCGTGCATATGAGAGTTTTATGAATTTTAATTTTTGTATTTCGAAAACAAATCTTGGTTTTCAGCCCGGTAAAGGTAGAGTCGTCTTTTATTAATAAATTTGTTTTCTTTTCTTTTATTAATTGATGATTGTATTAAGATTTATATTATGTAGCGTTTGAGAATTGTAGGCTTACATCAATGTATCTGTGTAATTTTATTATACATAAAAATGATTTTGTGTCTACATCTGGGCTGAATTTGTATAGTTTTCGATAATGTTGAGTTGCGACAGATAATACCATTGAGATTTGGCAAATAATGGAAATAAAACAATTTTAATTTAGGACCTAACTACATTTTTCCATCTACACTGCTCTTAGTTTACGTAATTTATAAAAACTTCGAAGTTGAGACGTGGTCTTAATACCCTCGGTTTTCCATTAAAAGGTTTGCGATTTAATGCTAATTTAACTTATTTTTCTAGAAAGTTGTTAGTTGAAATTCATGAAAGAAATCCTTCACGTTAAATAATGCAGTTAGCATGGCGGCGGGCTGGGGCGAACTGAAGTTAAAATTACCGGTTTTCTGCGAAATGTAAAATCATTTAATGCATTGTGAAATAAAACAGAAACAATGGTAGTTTTGTCGAGGTCGTTGACCCGACTTTAAAAAAATATTTCGAAGCAATGGAAGTTTTGAAATACAAAATAAAAATGTGTAACACAGTATACAGTAATTTTAATAAAATAAGTATTGAAAACATTTTTAAAACATATTATTTAGATTTAAAAAACAAAAAGGATTAAAGTGAATTAAAAAATCAAATCATTCTTTTAGGATTTAAGTAGTCATATAAGTAACAAAATTCTGTAATAATAAATGTGGGTTTTCAGTAAATCATTATCGTTAACTTGCCTTAAGTTAAGTAGTACAAAATTAACGATTGATTTTCCTTAGGGTTTCAAATAACTTATTGCAGGTTGCAACAGCATTAATCACTGACGCACGAAAGAAGTTAAAAAGTGCTGAAACTGAAAAAATCTTCGAGAATCTGAAAAGGTAAGTGATAAAATATAAGATATAAGTTTTATTTACACTCGACTATAAAAAAAAGACTTATGTTAGTTGTTGGCTAACATTGGAGTCGTAGGGCAGTCGAGCACGTTACGATCCTTGTTTCAGCCCGTGCACCGGCGAATCCTGCAATAGTGACGTTGGGTACAGTCGCGGCAACAATATCAGAGCGCGGCCCGCGAGGAAAATGCGCAGAGAGGCGGCGCGCGTCGGCCGAACAGCGTCAGACGATACCGAACGCGCGCGCGGTACACGCGTCCACGCGAGCTCCCGTCCCGCCGTGTGTGCACTGAAAAAAGTACTCTGCGCGCAGCCGACTGCATCGGCGCACGTGCGAACTCTGTTCGCGGCCGCTGTAGCCCACCGGAGCACAGGTTAATGGCGCGACAGAGTCTCCTCGGCCGTTCGAAGTTTCCGCGAAACTTTTGCTCGCCGCGCGCGATAAACAAATCGAGCGCGGTTGATGTTTGTTTAGTTTTCGTTTGAGGTTAGGTTTGTTGAACTTCTTTCTCCCGCGGCGCGCGCGGCTTCGCAGTGACGTCAGGTTGCAGCTAACGAGATTAGATACGCAGTTGCCGTCCTGCAAACACACAACAGGCAGTGTGCATTTGTTCGCGGACATGTATCCAAACGACGGTTCCCATTCATAGGATCCTCGTCAAGGTCGAATCGACAGAATCGCACCTTGGTGGGAGTGCTTAGTTGCGTACCAATTGCCACGGCGTTTGTAGGAGCGCGGTTTTTTGGCGAGTGCTGACTGTACTTACTATAATGATAGGTCATTTACGTATTAGAAGTAATCCAATAACACGTATATCATTATTTAGTGTTTCCAAATACTTCTTTTACAAATATATATTAGCTCTATTGTAGAGAACTCGTATTGTTGCTCTTTGAAGGTAGACAATTATAATTTATGTACCGCCATGTAACACGATTATCGTACAATAAAGTACTTGAAGATAATTATTCAGTTTGAACGTAAAGGCATAAAGTCAATTGTTCATTCCTACTATATGTGTCATTTACGTTTTAGAGTATGTAAAAATACGCTAACGCCAATTTAAAGGCCGGAAGTTTTGAGTTATGGACGGTTAGTATTAATGTCTATTACGGTGTCCAACATGATACTATTCAAATAGATATAAGATATAAGGTCAAATCTGACTATAAAAGGTATTTCTCTGAATTAACATTGTCAAATTCTGAGTATACCGTGCACTTTTTTTAAATATAAATAGTCTGCATAATTAATAGAGACACTCAAAAATGATTATATCAGAGATTTTCTCGACCGTGTTGTAGATCTTTTCAATCCTGCCTACATACCTGTATGCCTGTACCACCTGTTTACAGGTGTCGAATGTATAAAGCGCGCAACGGAACCGGCCTGTGTTAGTTGTAGATTGTAGGTAACATAATAACAATAATGCCGTAACACAATGCGGCTGTGATAAGTGGCCACCGATAAGTTCGTCCGGACGGAGTCGTCGAGTCGAACTGGCCAATGTAATCCGCTTTTTTTTGCATAGACCGCGTTTCCATACGTTCGATTAAGTGCCATTTGTTACGCGTCCGATGTGTCAGCTTCTCACGCTATAAAATTTAATATGTTTGTGACACATATTTAAATGCACTCAATTTACGTGTACATGTACAGATTTTAACGCTGTGTAAATTTACGAGGCGTGAGGTAGCGTTGCCTTGTTTGAGTGTTATCATGTTTTATTTGTTTCGGTAAAAAGTTTATCGCAAGAAGAAAATGTGAATGGGAAGAGTAGAAAATAAACGAAACAGCTATTGCACGAATGTCCAGACTCGTACAGGGAAAATACCAGGGCTCACAGAAGACAAAGCTCACAGGAGTGGAAGTATTATACATGTATTTCGCGTCTCTTCTGGTGAGTGAGGTAACAGGGGTTTAATGTTTTTTTTAATGTTTTTAAACCGTTTCACCGCATCTTCAAGCCCTAAGGTGCTTTCGACGTTCTTGGGCGGCGGTAAGCACTTAACTTCCTGTTCGCGTGACAATTTTCACATAAAAAATGTTGATATGAGGAATAAATGTAATCGCAACGGTTGAAAAGTCAGTTTGTATATATATTCAACATTCCCACGCCTTGAATTTGCTTACGGTAACAACCCAGTGGATCTTCCACGCTTCCTAATCATTACATTTTCTGTCAACTTTGCGATTTCATTGTACACCTCGTGTTCTATTACATCTTATAGGCCAACATATTGTCCTGTTCGTGGTAAAAGATTCCGAACACGCTGCACAATCTGTGCCAAGCGCGATGTTTTTTATCCCGAAGAACGTATTTTAATTTCCTCTGTATCTTTTCTCCTCCGTATCTTTTTAACTTTGACGTTTAAGATGCTAACTTGAAATTATTTTCACACATCTGAGCATCATGAAACATACAGTTACGAAGATATTGATTATCTTCTTTTAATGATAAAATGTAGGTAATTAAGAATAAAACCAAGCGAAAATAAGATAGGTAAAGTAGTAAAAAGTAATCGGTACGAATTACCGTTTTCTTGTGAAGAATTTTGTAAACGTTAAAATTCATTTCGTTGTACAGTTCTGCTTATCGACATTAATTAAAATGTATCATTTATTTATACAAGTAATTTACATAACACCGTCTATAACTTCCTTGTTCAGTTTAAACTTTCCAATTGAAAGCCCAAATAAAAATCCAATATATAAAATTCTCGTGTCCCGGTGTATGTAATTAAACTCCTCCGAAACGGCTCGACCGATTTTCGTGTAATTTTGTGTGCATATCGGCCAGGGTGGAGAATCGGACAAAATCTATTTTTCATCCCCCTAAATGTTAAGGGTGCTCCAACCCAAACATTTTTTTCTACCCTACAAATAATTTATATGGCAAAACAACGTTTGCCGGGTAGCTAGTTATAATATAACCGCTACCCCACCTTTTTATACAATTAGCTGGGCTCGTTTTGAAAGGTCATTGAAGGCAGGATGTGAAGAATAATCGTAAGCTATTTCTTGTTACATAAAGAATCATGTATGGGGGGAATGAAAAGAGAGAATGCATTTTAAATCGAAAAGTATCACAACTTAAAAGTATTGTTATGTTGACGGTTGACAAAGCGGTCTATTTTTGTCATTCATAAACAATATTGGAGCTAAAAGACCACTGCCGATTCAATAAATATAAAAATATATTCGCCCGATCTAGCTAATAGAAGTTAGACTAATAGAAGTGTAAAGACAGTATTGGGACATTTTCAACGTTATAATCTTTCTCGCCCTATTATTGTCAGAAGAGAATAACTTTTCGCTTCAAATGTGATATATTTGTGCTTAAATCAACGCTTGTTATACAACATATATTTCTTTTTTATGCGAAAAGTTATCAAACGAGCAGACGGTTCAGCTGATGGTAAGTGAATACCGCCGCCCATGAATATCTGCTACACCCGGGGGTTACAAATGCGTTAACAATCTTTTGAAAATTGGGCTCCGGCTACCTCACTCACCAAACGAAACGCGGAAGTATTTGTCATACTTCCACTTTACGCTGGTCTTCTGTGAGGTCGTGGTACTTACCCAGACGGGCCTGCCCATTCGTGCAACAGCCGAGGCTGCTGCGTGGCCCTACCACCGTAAAAATATACAACAAGAGTAAATAACTTTGAAAACTTATGAGCGAGCTGGACGCGTTAGCAATGAAACAATGGGCCTTTCATCCAACAGCATTCATTAGACAACCGTGTCTTATTACTTGTCTCGCATTAGGACAGTTTCTGTTAGTGGAATTTTGATTGCAGCCAGGCTCCTTAAACTTCGCAAAGGGCCTTGGAATGCTTACTGTCCCTTTGAAATTTTCCTTAGTGTTCATATTACTCTCTAACGTTAAAACAAAAGTTAGCGTTTTAGCGTTAAAACCCATAAACACTTATATTTTTCTCGCAATGAAAGAGATTCTCGCGTTTGCCTGTCACCTGAACTTGGAAGTGAATTTCTGTATTCCGATCTCGGTACACCGGAATATAGGTCCACCTAATAAAAGTTTTGTCCGTGTTTTTCGCTATATCGAAGCAGTCTAAGTTGCAGAGTGGTGCACGTGTCATCGCCCAATGGCCGTGGCTTTCAATACACATCAATTGGGTGTCATTTGTCTGGCGGCGACGCATTCCGATATGTGATTTAGTTTCGACAGTCGACCGTCCGATATATTTACGGAATTATTAGCTGCGTTGCGACATCGACGCGACACTGCTCTCTAAAGGACCACCGCTTATTTTAATTTTTAATCACATCATTGGTCACATTTTTAACGAAGTTGCTTTATTTATGTTTGTCTCGTGATGTCTCTCCAATTCTTATATGGACTGTAAGTGTACAGTGTGTAAGGGGACACATCCAATAATTACGAGTGTTTAATTGTTTTTTGGAAAAGGATTTTTAATATATTTATTATTTATTAAAATATTTAACTTAATGCGACATGTTACTGTTAAAGAGTAAGCTAGAGCTGGGCTGATTTTGCTGCAGTCAAAATTAAAAAACTCAATTTCTGAATTGAAACAAATCGCTGCGATCATCACAAGTTTAAACTAAACGTTACAGAAAATATTTATTACAACGTAAGTATGGCGTATATAACGATACACCAGCATAGGGATATAAGGTAAATCGAATCGAAACAAAGATCCAAAGAAGTTTCACAATTTAGACCCCTGCCCATTTGTATTGCCATCTGTCGGGTTGTTTCTACAAGTTCTTAGCGTTGAGTTTTTTGTACCTTTTTATCCTTTGTCACACGCAATACGAAATTACTTGTGAGTTACTATTTGATATTATTTTTATTTTGATTTATATCAGGAACAATATATCAGAATCATCAATTTTTTATTTTCCATGTAATTACGTTGTAACTGCAAAAGATGTGAATTCGTTACCCGGTACAAATAAAATGTGATTGTATTGTGCCGCAATCAACTAATTAGATAAATATAACAGAATCTGTTGTATATACGCAAAAGGCCATGATCCATAGAGAAACCATGCAGAAGTTTTCATTAAATATTTTTTAAATAAAAAAAATGTTATGCGACGACGTATATGCTCGACTTGGTTTTAATTTTTGAATTAAATACTCCCAATATATTAATTTACTATTATTTTTTATGCAAGATAAATCCAAATTTACACTGTGTACGTAAATATTGTTAGTAGTTCCGTCGGGTTTGCATTTTATTTTAAATATTAGGCCGCACTCCTAATGCTGACTGCGTCCGGTATCAGATGCGATGAAATTCGTGCATTAGCTATGTTTTTGTGAGAATGATTAAAGAAGATATAGTTTTTTTTATGTGCGAGGAATCGTAGTGGTTCTTCGGCTAGAAGTAATGTTACAACTAAACAATCCTCATTACATTGTATTTTTGGAAAACTGATTAAATAGATAGACTGAACAATTGGACAATCTCGAATTGACTTCAGTTCACGAGCTTACTTTGAATAAATTTGCTGTTTGTATATATCTATATTAAAAAATGCGTGAGCCGCATTTTTACTCGGTTATACTGCGAAAACTACGAAACCGGTCGGAATAATACTTATACCATAAGATGCAACGTATTTCGGAGAAGGTTTTAGTATATGATATGTTGTAGATTACTTATAGAGAATTTATATTTTTTGATTTAAAGATGGTATGACCCATCGAATAGGACGGGGCACAGCTAGAATTTCTTTAAAATTAATTTAAAATTTCATCGTGAAATTTTAATTTAATTTTACATCCAAATTTAAATAGAGAAGTAAGTTGGATGCTACCGTCGGAAATATCCCAAGCTTTTGAAAAAGGTCACGAACTTTAGTTGATAATTTCAATCATAAATATGTGTAAGAAATATGAACAATCATTTTAAATTCACTTTAATTTTTCGTTTTAAATGTATCATGCGTGAAATAAATACTTTAAATAACTTTAAATAACGTTAAAATACATATTTACGTTTTGTTTAAAAAATCGGTAAAGCGTAGATTTTTTCCAAACAGCGTTAGAACTTTACTCGCATTATTTATTCAATTTCAAATATCTTTACAAAACCAATCTCAACAGTCAATATTTATTTTTTATTGCTTATATTCGTGCAGTAGCTGCAACGAACATGTCTGACTACCAGACGAACTAAAGTTCTAAAATAAGTGTACAAAGTATTTTAAAAGAAACATACGGACATTGACATAGATCTAAGTGATAGCATATAGTGTTCATAATTTAGTGTTCGCAATTGATAGTGTAGTAGTGACTGTTATTACAGCAAAGTGTATATCGGTGATTAATTAGTGGAATTGGCAGTGAAAATGTCGGAGCGTTTTAAGGTGACCAAGTTTGAGGAACCTTCGGGGAAGACGTACAAGAATTATGGGGCCACCTCAGCGGAGAGCGACGTGGAGCTAAAAGGAAAGCTACTTTCCGATTCAGGTGAGTGTTTTCAATTAGAACGATCTGTTGACCAATTTTCTAAAATCGAACGCCATTTTATATTCTCGAGGGCTCTTTTGCCAGCACGTTTGCATCGTTCTTGATTGAGTACTGCTGTTCGCATCGTAAATCCTATTAATCAGCTAAAAGAATGTAAACAATATTTTTTTATGAATGGTCTAAAAATTTTGCAGCGATATACCGTAATATTAATATTTTGATTTCTGTCATAAAAGAATATCATCTCAGGTAATCTTTTATGACAGAAATCAAAAATTATTTAAATCAAAGATTCTTAAATTATTCTAAAAATAAAATTATTTTGTCCTGAATCTCAAGTTCAAGGCAAAAATAAATCATAATTAATGTAAAAAAAATACCCACTTTCATTTACAGATTTCTTTTACGGCTCCATTATATTTTAAAGAGCCTTTAGGGACAATTAAGTTTACATTTTCGGCCCAAAGGTTTTTCAAGGTTTTTCAAACAATACGTTAATTGTCATTTAAAATACTTTTTACGAAGTATTTTTTAAGAGTGGTGAATCACAATCATATTTATTAGGTATTTGTAATTAACATCGACCATTTCCTTAATCTCTTCTTAAAATTTGTTTTCGAAGACTCTTCTTAAAATTTGTTTCCGTAGACATTTATTATTATATAGAATACGGCCGATGTTTGATGACAAAATAATAAGATATATTTACTATTTATAGACTTATTTTATTATTAGATAATATTGATAAAAATAGAGCGATAATAATAAAAGACAGTACAGTCTCAAACTGCAAAATTGAGCTCGAATCACCCTCAGCTGTTGGACCCTTATTTAACCATGATAGTTGATATTATTAGCAATAAATGTGAATGATGATAGATGATTTGTAATATGTTTTGTTCTACTAGTACTTTATAAAATCGAAGGATTCATTGGTAAACAGTTTATTGGGTTAAATTCTCTGCCATAAGAAGCCTAATGGGCAGATTTATACCGTTGGGTCCGCCCTTTAACCTACAGAGATAAAAAAATATGAGGGTAAATGGGAATTTCCTTGGAAGGGAATTAGTTTATTACTTTTTGAGTCAAGGTTATATTCGAAAAAACTCATAACGATATGTTTATAAGGAAAAACAGCAATAGCCCTTCAACCTGCCACTTATTACTCTGCATATTTCTTACAGTACGGGACTCCAAGTTGTTATAGAAAAATTTCAAATTTGGAAATATGGAAAATCGTTTTTTTTTTAAAAACAATGCAACACCGGATTTATATTCGATTGTTTCCAATAACAGGATTATTCGAAATTAAACCGAAAAAAACAACCTCAAATATATAAAGGAGATATGAATTTGAGGTCACAACATCAAAAAATGTGGCACAAGGTGTTCTACCTTTTAAATGTGATTATTAATTTGACCTTGAAATATGACTCAAAACATCTATCGTTTAGAGTTTTGACTCAAAAGAGAGCAACAGCACGAAATTAATACCACATTTTACATGCGGACTTAAGTTACATCGGCTTAGTGTTGACTATTAATGTGTATATTGATTATTAATATGACTATTAATATACTATGCAAATTATATAAGTAATTTTATAGGTTATTCTAGCATATGAGCCGCTTGTATTGGAAAAATATATTGAAATCTGTTAGCACTTCCTGCATGCATCGTTTAAGTATATGAAAACTTTTGCATTTATATATGCGATTAACTGAATACAGTAGTACCATTGAGTAGTACATATGTAAATGATCATATGGTCCTATTTCAGTGCGTTGTATGCGCTTAAAATTTTAATATCGTCGCTGTATTCACTGTGAGTGAACCGAATACATTTGTTTACGCACGGCGTTGACTGATTGCGGAGGGTTGAACCCTCCATAGTGGACTATTGTAAGATAAGCGTCGAGATAAAAGGGGAGAGTTCGGCACCTATTCGACTGGTTTATTTAACCTTGACCCTCCCTATGCCAGACTGTATTAAATATTACCGTGTTCGTTTTAGAGTTGGACTAAACGGGAAATGCCCGCGTGAGAGGACATTTGTGATCGATCAATAGATCGAAGAATAGATCGTGTTTTATTTGCAACGTTTTTATCTATAATGCTTTGTATGTAAAAACGCTGTAAATTGAAAGGCAAAAGCTCGTGCTTAAGCGTGTAAAGAATTTGCCACGCAACAATAAGGGGGTTTGATACAAAAACGGGTACATAATTATCATTTTCATTTATCTATATATATTAATATAATATATATATATAAAGATATATATATATATATAGTATATATATAATAAGTAAATATATATTTATATTTAGTTACTTCGCATAAGTTTCATTAATAAATAAGTTAATTAGATACTAAAGAGTATCTAAATGGTTATAAATAGTATAGTATACTACCTACACTGTGTAGCTAAGTAAACTGTCCCCCTTTATTTGCCGGCGGTCTTCGGGTTTTATGAGTGCTTTTGCGAAGTCCAAGTTCATAAATCGGTATGCACTGCCACGGCCGTACAGCGAATCAAACATTGGTAGGGTCGTAATTTACTTTAGGCAACGTATACGATAACCGGTAGATGGTCATTGAAGTGCTTAGGCATTAGGTCTGTAGCTGAACAACTTTAACCTATTCTACTACATGACCGGTACCTATATACAATGTATCAATAATGAACTATTAAGTAACTAACTATAAATTATTATGACTGCTGATGAAGTCGAGGGCCTTAATAATGACATTATTATAAGATTCACATTGAAATATAGTTCAGTTCCTTTGAATTTAACGTCCTAACGTTTACAGTCTGCTGTATGCTTCAATGTGGTATTTCGGCGCTTGGAACTGCAAACTTGAAAGGGCCAATGTGTGACACGTTCAGTCGTGATTGGTTCAATGAAAGAAACGTAAATTCACTTGGAAGATGCACTATCTTTAACCAGCTAAAGATAAGATCTGACATCTCTTAAGACGCGAGAACTCATCCCATGGCTCATTCTAAAGATTTGTGTGAAAATGGGTATGATTTATACAGGGAAGTATATAATTTATGGGTAGGTAAAAACAGGCGATTCTATGTTTAAATTTATATTATTTTTATGCATGTTTAGCGATGTCTCTGTAAATTGTGAATTGATTTAGTTTATTTTTGATAAGAGTATATTCGCGAGCTGGTCCTATAATACTTTCTTCATTGGGCGTTGGACTCTGGAGATACGTAAGGGAACTCCTCAAAATCAAATAGAAAATGTTTGGAGACATTTTAAGTCGTTATTGTTTTTTGTTTTTAACAATATTTTACTTGCTTATGCGTCAATTCGCAACTATGCAGAAAGAAAAAAATGCGCTCGGAATCTGTTAGCTTTTTTGTTCTTTATAATCTGTTATGGTAATTGTTAATAAATGAAATTTTAGTGAACACAACGTCCGTAATTAGTTTTTTTTTTAATTTAAACTTTTAAAACGCGATAAAATACATAAACTAGTTTCATTAAATCAATCAAAATATCATTTCAATATGTAATAATATTTGCGTAAACTCAAGAAATGTATATGGTACTTCCATGTTTATTTGTCGATACGGCGTCGTATGTCGAAATGAGTAACAAATTTTAGTAAAATGTGTAATATAATTTAAGTATAAAATAGTTAATTATTAAATCTGCGGGGGTCCGTCTGATTGGAACAGCTCACAAATTTATTTGGTCGTAATTTCTAACCTCAATCAAAGAAATTGAAGATTTTTGAAGTGACACTGCTTTTGGCGCGTTAGAAAAACATGAGAGTAAAATTTTTACGATGTGCGCGCACACCGACCGTCAAAAAGCGACATTATTAACTTTCAAATTCATCATGCTTGGTTTCCATGGTGATGCTTCGCAACGAACTTTATGGTATTACCATGGCAACCAATAACAACCTTTTGACATTTACCAATAATTCTAAGTTATTTAAATATACCGTTATCAATTGCCTTTATTATCTTTACGCTGAAGTATAACTTCTACCGTGTATACATCAGTACGGAAAAACTTTTTTAATTTTTTACATACTCACAGTGACATTGGTTACATTACTGAATTACTGTTTCCTTTTCATGTATACTACATTGTCAGCGTCATAACCCATCACGCGTGTTGCTTAATATGTTTTGGATAAGTGCTTGGCATTATCTAAATCTTGCTATCCCTTTAAGGCTGAAGACATAAGAGCTTATGTTAAACGTAAAATATAACCGTTTTAATTTTTATTAGTTAATTTTTAATTGCTCATACATTCATTAGTCATACATTCTTGTAGACATTGTAAAGGTACTTACCTTTACAATGTCTACAAGAATGTATGACTTGCTTCTAGTATATGTATTTTAAAAAGTGGAGCTTTGTACACAAAATATTTCACATTCCATAATCACGTTTTGTCATTATTTCGGTTGTTAACTGCCAATAAGTACCTTGTTCATTTCAAAGTGGATGTTATTTTAAAGTTCTTTTCATTGTATCGAGACTTGTTAGTACTCGAGGCAAGAATGTCAGTTTTACATTCAGACTGCAATTTTTCAATTATTGCTTATTACGTACCATAGTGTTTTTATTTTCAAATTATTTATTTAATTTTCAAATAAAGTAGTAGTAGTAAAAAATCCGTAGTCATGTAAGCGCCCAAATTATTTTCAGTTCAATTGTTTATAGTA